TGAACCATATCTTATTCTTCAAACGCTGCCTGACATCTAGCCATGAGCCATTTTTTAAACGGAGAACTAAACGAAATTACGCCATAAAAATGTTTCTAAGTTTTTTTCGGCTTATGAAAATACACCTTTAAAACAGCAAATCAGAATGCTTTTTAGTTTTCTGGTAGAAAAACAAGACATGAGAGGAAATTAAGCGAAGTCTTATGTACCTATCAGGCTGACCCTTATAAAATCTGTCCATTTATAAGACGAAATTTTAAAGCAATTATGTAAGCACACATAAAATGTTTTTTCTTAGCCAATCAGTACTCACCTCGGGGCGAAAGAACATAGTTTCATTTCAGGAAGAACACCACAACCACCACGTGACGTTGCTATAATCTTTACTTGGGTTGAAATTTGACATTTTTAATGTACCTAATCACTGTATTCTGCGTAAAATTTGGATGAAAAACATGGGTTTTGATACTCGATTTCAACCCTTTACAGTGGTCTATAGAAGAGAAATGACTGAACACGCAGTTTCACCGGAAATACAGCAAGACTTGACTTGCCATTATTTTATTTTCTTCAGTGAAGCAAGAATAAAAGAGTTATGCGAGCGGAGGGGAGCGGGGTGTCTCAGAGAAACTCTTTGTGAAAGATACTTGGGAGAGTTGCAGGTAGCTACCTGGCATCATTATCATTCAATTAGATTATTTGCTCTCTCTGAAGTCATACAGCTCCATTAAAACTTTTTTCCCCCTCCTCTCCTCTGTAAATGATGTTTAAAGAGGCTGTTTCCCCTCTCCCGTCAAGATAAAAGTTGTACTTCACATTTTTCCCCCGGGAATAATCGCGCAGAAGCTATTAGCGAGTATTTAGATGTCTGGAGGCTGTAATTTTCCCCGCTTCAAAACACTAATTCACTTAATGAATTGGAACATCCCATTCAACTCACCCCTTTCATCTTCTTTCACTCACTTTTTTTACGCGCGCGAACTGAGACTGGGCAGTGCACTAATTCATCGAATTACGTTTGAAATTTCTGTGCTGATTGTAGTAGATTCATCTAGCTTTTTACACATATCCATCAGGTTGCACGCGTGCGTGTTGTGACGCAATTAGATAGCGACTCTTTTTTTAAATGTTCCAAAATAAATAAAACGAAAACGAGTACAAATATAGCACACCCTTTGGACGGAAATACGGCCTTGGCGTTCGGTGGGCAAGGAATATTCACTCTTGTGCCAGGTATTAATCCATCACGGAAATAAAAAGTTAAGGGTCATCCCCTAAAATTTTGGCTCTAACCTGATTTTTTAAAAGATGTGGACATTTTCAATTAATCGTGGTAGTGCCGCAATTAAAATTATGGTAGTATATACCGGTAGTATTTGGGTCAGTAACCTAATATATTGGGGCACTACCACAATTAATTGGAAATCTCCATACCATCCAACGAACCCCGTGATCTCTCATTCCGTGACCCAATAAAATTATTAATACTTTCCTCCTGAATCTGCTGATCCTACTTTCAAACAATATGACTTTGTTTCGAATCGTCGTCAAATAACTCGCGAAAATAAATGCTGAGATTTAACTGAGGGGTAACTGACGGAGAAAAAAGTATGGGCATGTCATTTTAAGCTAAATTAGGCGCAGAACCATTTCCTAGAAAAAATTTGAAAACAGAAAAACAGAAAAAAATTCCTTCGATACAACACAAATTTCCTGGCGAAGTCGTGAATATTTTTGCTCCAATTTTTCAGATAATTTTGTTCGCAATTTCATCTAAAGTTCCTGAAAATTTCAAGGAAAGTCGTGTTTTAGCCAAGGAAATTTGGCAACGCCTGAAGGTTCATGCGTCTTCTTCCTTAGCATGGCAGTATAGCCTCTACTCTTTAAACCACACTCATTCCTCGATAAAATCCAAACATAGAAAAATGACCCAAAACACGCGCCATCGGGAGCTCTCGTTGACTTAGGAGCGCGATTTCGTCATCAAACTCATCGTCCCTTCGGGGAGCGATTCAGCGGAACTTGGAAACCCGTCGGATCGGAGCGCGAGGTGAGGGGATTCTTAAACTCATCGATGAGGAAATCGGAGGAGGCAGCGAGGAGAAAAAAGACGGCCGCGGGGGAGGGGAACGGGCGGAAGTTTTTGGATTTATGTGAGTTTTCACGAGTTGAGGAGCTCTCAGTTCACAGGTCAGTGAAATCTGGGGATCTTGCAGCCTCGGTAACTGGACACTTGGGGATCGTTCGGGAGTCTGTCTGGAATCGGAACGACCTGATTGCAGATGCGGAGGTGGGTCACGAACACGCTTGCCGCCTCTGACGGAAGTGGGATGTTTTTTTTTCCTTTTTTTAAGAAACGAGAAAAAATGTTTTTAGCATTGTTGCCGCGAGGAAAATATCCGCAATGACCCGCTTTAGATTTTTATGCAGGGGTAGAGTGCAAGAGGGAAGATCTTGCGAGTAACTGAATGTTGCCAAATTTCCTACGATAAAGGTTTAATTTTGAGAGGCCGCACAGTGGATCGAGTCAATGGGAGAGATCGGACAAAATTTTGAAACTTTAAACGCTTATAACTCCGTTTATAAAAAAATTTTAGATTCTTATAGTGCTTTCATTGGTTTTCTCGTGAAATTTATCTTCGACATGGTCGGTATTCTTAGCTGCCAACATAATGTAAAAACTATACTCATTGACCACACGAAAATACCGTGGTTTTACGTATGGTTTCTGTTTTAGTCACACGGTTCTGACTACACGGGGCAGAATAGGCAACTATTCGTTCGTCATTGAGGTGTTTTGCATACTATGTCAAATGAAGGCGGTTTGTAACATGTAAAACCTAATCAAGGAGTTTTTTGACAATGCTGCCTTCGATACCAGCACTATACACTCGTTACAATAAGTGGGTCAGTTGGGTCTTAAACATGACGTTTCATTATAGACCAGTCCTCTATTTATAAATCCAAAAGGAATCCCGGAACATTTGACGGACATATTTCATCCCTAGAGCGTTAAGTAATTTAGGGAGGCTCCCTGGAGGACGCAAATTCATATTGAATTTTTAAATTTCAGGGGGATTTTCTCGGGACGATCGGGCAAAGCCGTTGCGAGGATGATCCCGTCCGTCGGCGGAGTCAAAGGCGGCGTCCTCGCTTTTGATGTTCGGATCAATTTCGCAATCCCGTGAAAGCCGGCCGGGATTCGAGCGCTTTTTTTCCACCCCCCGATTGAGACTCGCTTCTCATCGCTTTAAGGGATGATCGCTTCTCGCGCCTCGCGGCACGTCGACGTTGTAACTTGGACTTACCCCTCGTTGCCAGATTTCCCGATCTGATCATCATAATTTTATCAAGGGCAGAGCCCAGAGCGTGAGCGATCGACTATCGATATTTCCTCATTTGAAGCTATGGTAAATAATCGATCATTAAGGTGCTCGTTGCGAACACCGTGTTTATCGATCATTTTCCATAGGTTTAAATGGAGATCAATCGATTTATCGCAAAACGTGCCCTGATAATCAATCCTTTTCCATAGATTTAAATAGCAGATCAATTGATTTGCCGCAAAGCGCGCCACGCTACTGAATTTTATCGAGCCATTCTTTCTGGAAACGACGTGTATGCTTTGCGATACATCGATTGATCTACCATTCGAAGCTATGGTGAAGAATCGATCATTAAGGTGTTCGTTACGAACACCCTGTTCATTGATCCTTTTCCATAGATAAATGACAGATCAATTGATTTATCGCAAAGTGAGCGACGCTACTGAATTTTATCGATGGATTCTTTGTGGAAACGATAAGTATGCTTTTCAATACTGCTGTGATTGCGCGAAGTCTTGTTTAAGTGATAGCGAATAGATGAAGCATACATGCTAATCATTTTGGTGCACGAATGAGTGAAAATAAGAAACATTTTTAGGGGAGAAATTCTAAGGGGGCTTCCAAATATTGATCACATGCAAACGATGCACCTAATTGGACTATCTAAGCAGCACTGCAAAGCTTATAATGCCTTAATACGAGGAACGACTCTATTCCGTACCCACGAATTGGAAAGTTTTTGTTTCATGACCGAAAACTTTTGAGCTCATTTAATTGACTTCTATCTTTGTATTCTAAGGAAATCAACTTTATCAAAGGTAATCTTCCAACCGCAATAAAGCCGTGCTGTGCGAAAACGTACATTTAAATGTTGCCGAAATCCCACCAAAATATATTTATACCATGGAAAATTTTGAAATGTTTTCTCATGAAATGTTCAGGCACTTCAGGTCAAATGACAAGTAAATATTGCTAAAATAACTGTTAAAAAATATTCAAAAATACACCTGGAAATTCGTTCTAAAGCAAAAGAAATCTCGCAACTTCTGGATGCCACTGGAAAAAAGTCACTTGGATCTAGAGTCCAGAATCATATTTTCTTTTAAATCAATATAAATAAGAATAATCCAAACAGTTTATGCAAACATTTGAAAATCATTAGTTGTGAACCGCTGACTCCGTGAGTTTAAATATTAGAGCCTAACACAGAGCGGAACGGCGGTTTGCATGCCGGCGCAAAACTCGCACTGGCGCCTACAAACCTAACAGGGATACTTCACGCATTGCGCAAAACGCGCACTGGCGCCTACAAACCTAACAGGGATACTTCACGCATTGCGCAACGCATGAAGTATCCACTTAGGTTTGTAGGCGCCATTGCGCGTTTTGCGCTGCGCTGGTCGGCCGCCCGCCGCGCCGCAATATGCCATGGCGCACACTGGAAAAAAAAATCAAGATAAATCAAGAGGCTTGGCTCTTCCATTCAAGGAAGAATCCGATTGAATCATGAGTATTTTTTCTTGTCAACGTTATTAAGAGTCTGGATTCTAGATCCAAGCGACTTTTTTCCAGTCGCTCACGTTACGTATTTCATTAGCATGGCAGTGTGCAAGGTCTGAAATTCTGATGGGGAATGGATTAGAATCGGACGAATAGACAAATGAGAGGACTCACCTACTGTTTGACTGCTGTTTTCGTGCCTTTCAAGTTCACATAACTAACTTTTTGGAATATACACGTCCAAATGACGAGCATCCTTGAGTTTACCACACCAATTATGCTGTCATCGTGTCCACCTGGAACAAGAAATCAGTTTCATCAGACAAGAAATAATGCATAAAGCAAAATTGGTATCGACGTTCATCGAATAGAAAATTATTGTATTTCAGCTTTTGTACTTTCAGATTTTATGGAATACTAGCCGTTCTGGACGCGCTTTGCGCGTCCGTCACGGCCAGCCAGGGGGCTGTGCCCCCTGGACCCCCGATCACTCGCTACGCGAGAAACATTCGCCTCGCTCCGCGAGCCATTTTACTCAGTGATTGGACATTTGATCACTAAGATGTATACATTTTGGAGGCTCTGAAGGCAAAAATGATTTCGTCACAGAACCTTGTTGCCGGAGCGTGCCATCATTTGCACATGAATAGATGTGTGGAGATGAAGCGATGATGGGGATCGATCATTTCTTCAAAAACGCATTTGAATGGGACGTCATCCCATCGGGTGACGAAAAAGACAATCCATGGATCTTCTTCCACGATTTGACTTGCTGAAGTGGCAAAAGTTCATCTTTACCTCTTAAGAAGATTATCGGTGGTGTAGGGGTCTAAAAACTGCTCAACGATAGTATAGTTCGAGTTCCGAATCGCAATGAGCCCACTCGTGTTTTTTTTTGGCGCGTATACGTAGTATACCGCCTTTGCGATCGTTTCGACCCCCCACTCGATACAATAACCGAGTCCCTTAGTTCCTTACCGAAAAGTGACTACCGCGAACTTCCGAGATTTTCCAAAGCGTGTAAAAAGTTTATTTATCCGTCAATAATTATGATTTAAAGTTGTTTCTCATTCTGGGGCTCTCTAGTTTATGTGTAATGAATACCAAGAGTCTGCGTTACTTGGTTTTTTTTGAAAAAACCTTAGAATGGGGCGCGCTGATTTAAAATATGCATATATAAGCAGAAGCAAGCGAACTGATTCGAGGATGGCTGATCAGGTCGGCACTCGTTGAATGAGAATTTCACTTCTTCGTTTTGTTTAAAACGTTGCTTTGACAGATCTCCACAACCCTGTTATGATTTTCAAAATTTGGTACTCCTTGCTCTGATAGCCGGGGCCAGCAGGATAGTGCTAAGTGCAATCTGTGATGAGCCTCGAGACTCATTAGACCATGTGCTAACCGTGGCCCATACAGAAATTCACTCCCCTATCAGGCCAAAACAGTGCACAGGCAGGCACAAAACCCAGGTAGTGTCCCGGTCCTGGCTCGGTTCGCCGCGTCGCTTCCCAGCTGAAGAACAAAAGGCGACCCTCGCGGTCCTCGTCACAGTCAGACCTAATTACTTTCACTCGATTACCCATTTCACCGTCACACTGGGATCCATCAAATTTTCGAAAAAATTGTTTCGCGAGTACTTAGCTATTTTTTCCTTACTCTCCGTTCAAGGACGAATTGAAAGAGGTCTCATTCATAAAAATCGGCCGAATAGAAGAGAAGTTACAGTATTCGAAATCCGAAGAAATCAACGAAACATCTCCAAACAAAAAATAAAATGAAGGGGAAAAAAGAAATGTATAACTTACAATTAAATATAATTGACCTCAGAATTTGGCAAGCAATTCAACTATATAACGGAGAAAAAATTGGGAGAAATTACAAAAAATTCGCCACTTGCAAGGGGCTTCCTTGTAAGAATTTTGATCTGAAGGCAAGGATTGAATACCAGCGCAATACACCATACAATACATGGTGTGCCTGAACGAACATTTTATTTTGTGTCAAAATCGAAAACTCTTTATATTTTTTAACTACAGTGTCTCTTGAGTCGTTTAAGCCAAAAAAAAATTCCGTCAAGATTCTGCAAAGTAAAGGCGCTTTAAAAGTATTCTGGGGCTATGTATCCTAACTGTGTCCACACATGGTTTCTGTTCAGCATATCCATGTGTAAGTATTTTTACACGTAGAATCTAATTTTCACGTCAGGGAGTCGACACATCTCGATTTTTTCGATTTCATACGGAAAAATTGATGGTTTTTCGGGATGGAAATTATTATTGTTTCATGAAAAATAAATGCACCCCAAATGACTATAGCATATTGATTTTTATATATTTGCACCCACGAAATTGGTTGGTAAATTCAACGAGTGAGTGCATCGACCTGGTATATCAAGTTTCTGCAATTTTTTACGGCAAATCGGTAGATTTTCGGGATGTAGACTGCTTACTTTCAATTAATGAATGAATAAAACATGGACATGGTTGAACTTCTTTGCATGAAAATACGTTTAAAATAACAAAATCAAGACATATTTAATGCAATTACATTTATATCGAGTCAATTTCTTTTCAATAATATATCGGGATTTATAATAGGTACCGGTGATTTGGATATTTTAGCCCCAAAAATACCTTTAAATCGACTGTATCTTTCAGGAGTTCGACAAAAATTTTCCTTTCTTCGCTTAAATTATTCCGTAGCACTTTTCTTTAAGAATCTGATAAGATATTGCTGGGGGCAGATCAAAAAACTTAAACTCGTTCGAATGGCTTTCTACATTCACAATACACGGTCTCGTCAAAGTGCGTCGTCGAAGAGTTGGATAGTATGAATTCTCTTGTTGTGCTACTTGCCTATTTTGAAATCTCTGTAAATGAAAACTAAAGGGGTTGATATGTGTGAGTTAATGACGCGCCTTATCAACACATTGTGTTGGAGTTCACTGCTTGTTTTTTTATACTTTCATCGCATATAAATTTCTCTGATGTTTTTGTTTTATTCTCTCTTATTGCATATTAGTATAATCATATCCTCATTTCATTTCATTTCCTTTCCCTTTCCTTTTTCCCTTTCTGTGGCATCTGTGTCCATTTACAATTATTATTTTAAAATAGCTTTCCCTTATTAGTATACAATATCTGCTTCAAACGGAATCAATTGTTTTAATGAAATTTCCGGCTAAATCATGGGTTTTCCCAGAAAGGCAGCCTTTCTTCCCTCCCGGACTCTATTGTTGCCAGATAAGTTGCTTTATTAACACTTTTCCCAATTCAAATCCATGTAAAATATTCACATTTATCGCACAATCTGGCAACCTCTCGAGTGAAATAGAAAAAGGTAGAATCGCTGAAAGTCTGAATTCTTCGAAGTTCATATTAATGATTCAAAAAAAATGAATTAAAGAATTGAGCAGCAAGGTTTCATCCCTTATATAATCAATACCATTAACATCGTCACGCATATTCTGTCACAGCAGGGCGTGCCATAGACGTTGACACATAATCAAGTGGAGGATGCAACTATTTGAACACCGGTGCTATGGTCTGGTATCACGTCTAAATGAAGGCAGTTTTCCAGCTGAGGCATTATTCCATTTTATTTTAACAAATTGCGTGCCACTTTGGAGGAAGGAATTATCCCCGAAGGTCCGTCAGGAAAGAGGAGAGGGGAGGCGCACCGTTGGAAATTTGATAGAAGTTGTTTTTTTCCGACCTCTACAAAACTTATTTCTGCAAAATAAATTTTATGGTGTAATATCAATGGCATATTCTTTTATCTTAATAATTTTCCATTAACTGTAAGAAAAGTCTCCAAAAAGGTCCGATATTATCCTGCTTGTGCAGGCAGTAAAAAAAATAAAATCTGAAATTCGCTGAAAATATAAAAAAGGGAGAAAAGCTACAACGCTGCATATAACGCACGCAAAAGACGCCACGGCTCGCACAAAATGGGTGACAGTAGCCACCTGGACAAAGTCTAAACTCGGCAACAATGGAAGTGGCCGAATGAAGAAAGATGGCAGCCAAACGTAAATACACTTTAAGTAACACGGAACTGATTGAGGGGCTTCGAGAACAATGCACGTAAGTGCAAATTTTGCTATTTCAAGAAATACGTGTTTATAGTTTCAAAATTACGTGGAGCTTCACTGCAAAAAGGAAATTTTTAAACACCATGGTTGATGCTTTAAAGTTACACTGGAAAAAAAATGTCGCTTGGGTCTCGAATCCAGACTCTTAGTAACATTCACAAGAAGAAATACTCTTGATTCAATCCGATTTTTTCTTGAATCGAAGAGCCGAGCCACTTGATTTAGCAGAGTTCCTCTTGACTAAAGCAAAAAGTCTGATTGAATCAAGATTTTTTTCCTTGTCAATGTTTTTAATAGTCCTTGGACTATGGATCTAAGCGACTTTTTTCCAGTGTAGTATCAGCTGTGCATTTTTCACTGATTATACTTTCCAACTAGTTTTAATTGAATTCATGAATATCTCAATTTTTTCAAAAACTGCACTTATGCGCCGTGTCCTCCAAGACCCTCAATTCGCACTCGTGCAAATTCAGCACAACCTAGACTACACAATCACGCCCTAGCTTAAGAATCTAGTTGGACCGAGCAGAATTGCTAGGAACTGTGTATTCACTTCTCAGCCAGATCCGCTTTTGTAGTCAAACAATGAGGAAAACCTATCCTGAAAAGCCGGACAAAAGGCTAGACGAGCCCTCATCCAAATTCATAAATTTCAACTTTCTCGGCATCTAAATATTACATTACCTCAATCTCTAATTGAACGGAAAGCTGGGCGATTGATCAAAACCGAAACTTTTTTCAACGGGTCGCGCGCCCAGCGTGAGGCTGGAATCGAGAGAGAAACGGAAGGAACTAGCATATAAGTTATAAAAATCCTCAACTGCACAGAGTGGTAGTCTATGCTGGTGCCCGTTAATATCCGCAAGCTGACAGCAATAAGGAAAACGCAAAAATCCGCGAAACAGAGTTTCGTGAATTAAACCCGTTTTCCCTCAGAATTTTTCACTCTCGGCCGAGTTTACTTTGTTCCGGATTCTGAAATGCTCTTTGTAGCCACGACTTAGATTTTTGTTGAAATGAGGGAAGAAAGTCACGGCTCGAATTTATTTTCAGAGGCGCTCCCGCTATGGAAAATTTGCACGAAAAAATGTAGTGCTTCATTTGAGAGTGTTTAATGGACCGAGTTCGCAGTATTTTTCATAAATTTTTCTGATATGGGAACTTGTGGAAAAAGGGATTTAGAAGTGAGAAAACGTACCGGCT